CAGAAAAGCAACAACATGTCACCTTTTGACCTTTCTAACGTTTGTGAAATAATTTAAACCGATTGCTGACTCGGGACTGGTGACACTTTTTTGTTCTGGTCCCTAAATCACATTATTAACAGCTGCTGCTGCTTCAACACTGAAAAGTGTAAGATGGAGAGGAACCTTAAAGAAGTAACAATTGGTTCTAGTGAGGAACCGTTCCATGAGTAAGTCAAAAAGTTCTAAGACATGTTTTAATTTCTACAGATGTTGTATGTTAATAACTCAAAGAAAAATTGCTTTGACTTAAATCAAAAGATCCAAATGTAAAAATACCCCGTGTAATAGCAATAAAAATAAGAGGGTAAAAATACCCCGTGTAATAGCAATAAGTAGTAGAGTAAGTTACCAATAATCAACATTGACTTTTGCCTCAGTCCCATTTGTTTCCAGGCCTGCGTTTGTCTACGGCCCCGTTGAGTTCCACGCATGCTTAACTGGAACCGTGAATAGTAGACGGAACTGCAGGGTCCATATGTGGCCCACACAACTCGCTCAGTCCAATCTCTGGCCTTCTTTTTTACCCATGTAACCCCTGCCCCTGAGTCCACAGGGGCCCCAATGACACGCTGCCTGGTATGTTTCAAAAACAGACAGTAAGTAAATTTTATGGAAGTTACAAACGACAGATTTCCTGAGAACGTCAGTGCTGTCTGTGCTGCGTCGTTCTCATGTTCCTCGTTAGGTTCTGTGTGCAGCAGAAATCCAGGATGAGCTCATGATTGATGCACCGAGCGTATCCACAACAACGAATACGGCTCTGAATTATGTGTTTGGTCGCAGATGTGTAGACAGATATACTGTATATACCTGGCAAACCACAGTGTTCCTACTGATGCCAAGACCCTCCAGGTCCATAAAACAAAAGCCTGCAGCAGATCTCTTTAATTATTACCATGGGAGACCAGAGGAGAGGTGGGGATCAAGGAGACGGTGAGGAGTGATGTCACAGTGAGGGAGGGGCTACACTATTGACACTTTGCAGAGCCCTCAAAATTACATTATTCACTATCCTTATAAAAATAAAAGCTCTAAATATTAGCCGTGGAATAATGTGGAAAAACAAAAACCAAAAGGCCAAGCAACTGCTAAAACATAGCCTAAAAAATTAAATATCTTCCAGGAAAGAGCTAAAACTAAGCACAAAAGATCGAAGCTAAGATGAGTTAAGATCTAAATATTAGCCAAGAAAATGTTAAAACCTTTAAAAACAATTAAATAGTAGCCAAGAAATACTGAAAAACCTAGCCAAAAGAGATAAATATTAGCCAACAAATTGATTAAGCTAGCACAAAAGATGTATATATTTGCCAGGTCATTGCTAAAACATAGCCTAATAAAAGTAAATACTGAGCAATTAGTAACTAGAAATTAGCCAAGATGTTAGCCACAATACCATCACCCTTATAACTTATCATAAAATAATAAAAAATTGCCTGCTCTGGAAACATCCAAACTCTCCTAGAGCTGTTTTATTTTCCGACATTGAAGTGTAAACGTTGGTAGCCAGCGAGTTTTAGTTCCAACATCATGTTCACCAAACCTCTTTTTTAAAACAAAACTAACCATATGTGCCAGACCATCCACAGAAATACTGATTGTATCAGTGACAGTAAGACAATGTAAAAAGCCTTTCACTGCATATGTACATGTGACTGTATTCAAACTGTGGTAATGTTGGCTGACATCCTCAGATCCATGTACATTGGTGAGTGTTAGTGATTTGTGGTCACAGTGAAACTGTCTCCTGACCTTCACACTCCTGGGGCTCATTCAGAACATTGGCACAGGAGATAGTGGCTGCTGACATCACTCTGTGGAGCGGCCCAGAAGACAGTGAGCAGCAGCAGAAAAGAGGCAGAGTGAAGTCAGAGCCCGGCTCCTGACTGACTCCTGCTCTGTGCATTTGCATTAAACAGGACACAAAATGGAAGCAACGAAACACCTCGGAGGGTAGATCAGATATGTATGTATTCAAATGCACGGGCTGTAGTTTAGCCCAATTGTAGGGCTCACGTCACACACCTATTAAAGCACCCACGCGGTTGGACTCTGACACGTGTAACACCCCAACTGCAGAAACTCTGTTGTCTTCTGCTGCCAGGAACTGCTTTTATTGTCTCAGCCCACAGGAGCCCAGATCTACTGCTGAACATCACACTGGAGGCAGAATATATGGACTGGATATATGTACCGTATATAAGTGTACAACTGTAAACACAGCAGCTCCAGCCAGAGTCATCACTTATATCTATAATTTCACCAAAGTCTCCAGGCAAGTGTAAAAAATAGGTATTTATACACCAATGAAATGCAGATACTCTTTGAAATATACACAATTTACAACTGAAAGTATTAGGACAGTATTAGTTGCTTAACTATATATATATATATGTGTGTGTGTGTGTGTGTGTGTATGTGTGTGTGTGTATTGCCCATAAATGATAGTGATCTAAAACTTCCCTGAAAATTTTTACATGGTCAACACCTTTTGAATTTCTGACTCTGGTGGACGTTTTTGAAAACCACACAGAAGCGGAGAACCACAGAACAGAGTTCTTGAGAGATTATTCATTTTCACCTCAGCGGCAGCAACATGGAGCAGGAAACCTATCTGGTCTCATTTGTCAGCCTAGTTGCTCCCTGAAGGCCTCCACATTGTTCTCCAACACGTCGGGGGCCGCGTTAAAGTTTGAATCAGACCAGGCGCCCGACCGAAGCCACTGGGGGGAAATTAGGCGTGAGGTCCAGTTTTCTCTCAGTGACTCTTCTGGGGGATTAGGTGACATTTGGAGTTATTGCCGAGGGGAGGGAGGGGGGCTAATATGAATGATTAAAACGGCTGATTACACTGCAAAAATGGAGGTGTGTTTTATTGGCCTCCTCTAAAACAGAGGGTGGTGTAACGAGGTGGGGGCGTGGGGGGAAGGGGGGGCAAGAGGGTTACAGTTTAAGAGCCTCTGGGTCCAGGTCCAGGGTGAGACCGTAATGCCTTATTTAACACTGGACGAGTGGAGAGCAGGCGGTGAACTGAGGGTGAACCTTTAAGAGCTGCATTAGAACAATATGTGTTAAAGGTAGCTGTTACTGCTGCTG